TAGTTGTTGATATACTCTCTTTTGTGAGCATTGGTAAATTTTAGTGGAGGGGAAGAATTAGCTGGACTTTACATATTTGTTACTCAAGAGTAATCATTTTAATCTTCATTTTATTCATTTGAGTTAAAATATTTATTTGGTCCTCCTGTGCATATACCAGCAATGGGTAAATGCATTTTTTCAGCAGCGGTTTAGGAACAGATCAGCGTGTTAAAACAAGAACTTATTTTGTGCGATCTTTGTTTCAGAACACGAAAGTCCGGGCTAACTTTGGATCTCGCCTGTTTGCCTATGCTGAGGGACAAGCTCACAGAAATGCTGCTGATCTGTGCATTGACCTTGCTGAAGAAATCAGTGCCAACTTTGAGGCTTTGCCTTTTGCCATGGCTTCCGATAGTGATAACGACGCTGGTACCAGCATAGCGTCTGATCCTGGGACACATGGACCTCCTTGTAGAATTGCTGCTGTTGCCACAGCTCAGCAACGTAAAGTAGTCACTAATAATATCTGAATAGCTTGTTTAGTTTATTTAATTAAGACTTTTACTGAAATTAAGTATTCCCTAGCTGAATTTCTCAGGGCACTTCCAAGTGTAAAATGCAACTGTGATGCTTTATGTAGAGCTGCCATTGGCAAATAAAAGCTCGTTTAATTTTAGACAAAGCATTGTAGAACTCAGCTGTCTCTTTCTTCCATAATATAGAGCATATTGCAACCTGTTGTTCTGAGTTAATATAACGGTAATTAAAATGTCTTTTTATTAGGAATCTGAATGTAATTAGATGTCATAATTGATTGACTCACCCAGTTATTTATACTATCTCTGAATTCATTAAATTTCCACCATCTGATACAAGATGATCTGTAAGGGACAAAGTATTTGAAGGACTCTGTAAAGTACTTTAGTGTGTCTGCTAATGCTTGGAAGTTCATTATTTCATTGTGTTTGGTTACAGAATATGACAGTGACAATTCTTGTCATTATAAAATGGAACTTAGCTATGAGAATTTCATTACGTCAGGACCTGATCCCCATCCCCCTCCGATTGCTGATGATGAAAGCGATGATGACGATGATGATGACATCCCACGGGTAAGAAAGAGAAGCCACTCCATGTACTGTAAAAATGGTTTCTTAATACAGATTTTGTATATTGAAACAAATGCATGAAGTATGGGTTTTTCATTTTCAAGAAACTTCAGTTTCTTCATTGTTTTCTGTTTGGCTTTTCTTTGTAGGAGGATCACTATGCCTTGTTGGTGAAAGCCTGGGAAACTAAAGTTTTCCCTACCATTAGAAGACGGTTTCGTAATGAAGCTGAAAGGAAATCTGGTTTGGACCAGATTAAGGGTGCCTTACAGCTAGGTATGATTATGGAATGTTTATTTCTACGGTCATAATTGCATGTGATTAATGACGGGAGAGGAAGCAAACTATAGCGTAACACATTTAAACTGCATAGTAAAATCTGAAATATCTGAGAACCTAACTATTAAGATTCAACCAACAATATGTTATATTGTATTTTTCAGTGTTTTTCTAAATCTTTATTTGTGTAAAATGCATAGGATTTGGTGGAATTAATCATAGTTGGTAGGGTCGGAAGGGACCTAAGCAGATTATCTAGTCCGACCCCCTGCCATGGGCAGGAAAGGATGCTGGGGTAAAATAACCCCAGCTAGTTGGCTGTCTAGCCTCCTTTTGAAGACCCCCAGGGTAAGGGCAAGCACCACTTCCCTTGGAAGTTGGTTCCACCTCCTAGCTGCCCTGACTGTGAAGTAGCTCCTCTTGATATCTAGCCTGAACCTACTTTCAGTCATCTTATGGCCATTGTTCCTTGTTATCCCTGGTAGTGCTCGGGGGAACAGGGACTCTCCCATTGTCTGCTGGTCCCCCTTGGCAAGTTTATAGGTGGCCACTAGATCCCCTCTCAGCCTTCTTTTGTGGAGGCTGAACAGGTTCAGGTCCCATAAGCTCTCCTAGTAGGGCCTGCCCTGCTGCCCCCTAATCATGCAAGTGGCCCTCTTCTGGACCCTCTCCATGTTGTCCACATCCCTCCTGAACTGCGGCGCCCAGAACTGGACGCAGTACTCCAGCTGCGGCCTGACCAGTGCCGCATAGAGGGGGAGGATCACCTCCTTGGACCTGCTCGAGATGCATCTGTGGATACATGACAAGGTGCGGTTGGCCTTCCTGACCGCATCCCCACACTGCCGGCCCATGTTCATCTTGGCATCAGTAACAACTCCAAGATCTTTTTCTGCCTCTGCACTGACGAGAAGGGAGTTCCCAGCCTGTAGGTATGGTGCTGGTTCTTCCTCCCCAGGTGCAGCACCTTGCACTTGTCAGTGTTGAATCCCATCCTGTTCTCATCCGCCCACCCCTGTAACCTGTCTAGGTCCGATTGGAGCCTATTCCTCCCTTCTAACGTGCTCACTTCTCCCCACATCTTAGTGTCATCTGTGAATGTGAACAAGGTGCTTTTCACCCCCTTGTCCAAATCGCCAGTGAAGATATTGAACAGTGCGGGCCCAGGGCCTGAGCCGTGGAGGACCCCACCGCCCACATCCCTCCAGTTCGAAAATGTCCCGTCCACCACCAATCACTCTCTGAGTGTGGCCCTCCAGCCAATTTGCGACCCTGCTTTTAGAATCTTTTGATCCATTATCCCCTTGCTTTAACATACTTTTTTATATTTAATTTTATGCGCAACATACCTTTTAACCAAAAGACCTTGACAAACTACCATACCTCTCATGAACTTTTGGTGGTGTGCTTGATTTTGTGCTGTTCTTCAGGTACTGAGTGCTATGTAACAGCAGAGACTACAACTGTAACATCTTGCAGGCAATATATATGAATTAATTGTACTTCTCTGGTGGAAACCATAGCATTGTTATTAGTTTTTCCTTTCCCTTCTTTCATGCTGATAAACTAGTGACTTGGACAAAGCAGAAAGATGCTACAGAAGGGTCTTTACTTCCATTTCAGCACAAATTTGGAAGGCACAACCTCATAGGCCTCTGCTCAGCAGGAGAGATGTCAGCTTTCCCCTATATTTTCCACACACACATCACTCATCATGAATGTTTAATAAAAAGTGTGTACTGTAAATCCAACTACTTCTGCCCATTTGTTCCAGAAGTAATTTTTTATTCCCCTACCACTTGGATACGAATTCCATTTGTCACATGAGAGTTTGAGAGAGCTGGCATATGAGTAACAGTGTAATCCTTGTTCCATATCCCTTGATGTTGAGGTGTAATGCTGACCTCCTTCATGGGATGAAGATTAGGGTACTAGCTCTTCATACTGATTACAATAGGATGCTCTTATTAAAAAGAGAGAGAAACATTTCTGTTTAGATATATCTTAAACAAACTCCTGTGCTATGACTTTCCCTTAAAGATCATGCTTTCTTATTTTCTGTTTCAAGACCATTTTAATCCTTTGACTCAATCTTCATTTAACACACCCTTTGGTAATAGCAATCCTGGACTCTAATGCAAAACAGATTAGTTGTAATCAGCCTAGCTGATGGACTTTTTAAATAATCCTTAGGATTTATTAAAATAAGCCTTAGGATTTCACTTACCTGTGATGCTAATGAGGAACGGCAGTGTTCTTAATTCTTTGGAAGAAACTTCTCTTTTGGGTGGAAGGGAAGCAAAGTGCTGCTGCTATTCGTATCCCTTCTTCCTTCACTCTTGGCACAGTTAAGGACACAGAGTCTGTCTCCAGTGTAGAGGCTATTCAGGCATTAAAGTACAGTGCAGTATCCTGAGTGGCAGGCATACTAAAACTCTACTGTAACTCTCAAAGGAGTGATAGGGAGATGAAGCTATAATTTAAGGTTTACCCTGCATAATGGACCTGTATAATTCTGCTTTTGTTTTCCACGGTACTTTTCCAAGTGTCTATGTACAGCATCTTAGAATGATGCTTTGAAAATGTCTTGTCCCTTAAATAATTACTGAACCACAAGCCTAAATAATAGAAAGTGGGGATGACAACTTTTTGTTCCAACTGCCCACGTTTACAGGTTTAAATACTGTGTAGTGTCAAAATTGTGGCTAATGTACTGTCTACAGAATTGCTCAAGGGTGTAAATGAATTTAGCTCCACTATAGAATCGTGGTTATCACTTGTCTGCAAATGTATTGGCTTTAACTCTAAAAATGCTTTCCAAAAACTGTCAGAATTGATGTAGCCCTCTTAACTCTTGGCATAGTATGTGGTTCATAGTAACCACTTGTTCATTGTGGTGGTTGGGTTTTAATCCTCAACTGGAGAATCTGACATGAAACATTTGTTAGAGATGGTGTGGTTTGTTCCAAAGATGACCATGGCCAGATTTAATCAAAGGCTTTTCTGTTATCAGGCATGGTGGATATAGCCCGACAGACAGTAGAATTCCTTTATGAGGAAAATGGTGGTATCCCAAGAGACCTCTATCTTCCTACCATTGAGGATATCAAAGATGAAGCAAACAAATTTACAATTGATAAAGTTCGGAAAGGTAGGTTTTTCTTTCAATTTTATCAGTGATGGAAGAGTTGGGTTTGAAATACTGTTTTAACTTTGCATGCAAGAATGAGGCCCGGGACAGCATCGTGCTTGGTTAAGTCATGGCTGCAGCTTTTTTAGGTAACTAAACTCATAGAACAGACTTCCTTTGTGTATCCTAGCTAAAGATAAGGCTGTGTTACTTTGGAGCTAGGGCCCAGCTGCATAGACTGTTACACTTAAATCAAGAAAAGATCTTGTTGTCATTTTCCTGGAGATATGCTGTTCCTTTTATGTCCAGGTCTCACAGTGGTGACTCGCTCTCCAGACAGTAACAATGTGGCCAGCAATGCTGTTGGTACAGCTTTACCTAAATTTGCCATTCGTGGGATGCTGAAAACATTTGGTCTCCATGGTGTTGTTCTGGATGTTGATTCAGTGAGTAAAGCTGTATTTCAGTTTTTAAATGCATTTACAGCCTGCATGTATGACCCAACATGATAGCATGTGCTAGTTGAAGGTATGTTCTGCGTTCTTTGTCTAAAAGTTCTTGTGTATTGAGACACTGCACTTGACATTTCAGGTCAATGAATTGGTACAAGTGGAGACTTACCTCAGAAGTGAAGGCGTTCTGGTACGATACTGGTATCCTATCGACATGTTAGAAAGGCCACCTGCTGGTTATCGGAGGACTGCAACAAATGGCCTGGTTACTCTGGATAATACAAATATTCAAATTCATAGGTAAATAGAAAATCAGTTCAATAAACATTTCCATTCCTATTGCATAGATCAGCCTACAGTGTTGAAAACTCAACTCTGTTTTGCATTTTTGTAGAGAGCTGTTGCGATGTGAAGCTTCACTTGCCAAGCTGTACTGCCGCATGGCTCTCCTGAATATCTTTGCCCCCAAATCTCCACACATGTTTACACGCCTTTTTCATATCCCTGCCATCCGTGACATCACACTGGAGCATCTTCAGCTCTTGTCCAACCAACTTCTTGCCCCACCTCTCCCTGGTAAGTTATACTTGACTTGGTTTCTTCCAGTCTGATAATAGGGTGATCCCAAGCAGTGTATTCTTTCAAGAAAACCTGTGAAAGATGGAACAAGTTCAGAGGCTTCTTGAAACTGCCAGTTTTCCATTTGTTTCACAAAGGCATGAAATATTATTGTCATCATAATTAAACTTTTTCAAAGTTGCACAAACGCATGCAGTCAACAGTCTCTTGCTAGATTAATGAACAGCTGCAGAAAAGCTGGTGATCTCAGAAAGGCAGGTAAGTAAGTTCTGGGCTGAACTGTAATATGTTCACTGTAAGAAGAAAAGAGCTAATTAAGGTGAAGGACAATGGTACAAAAACAAGAGGAAGATGGTGCAGAACTGCCATGAATAAATTTAGGTTGGCTGTTAGAAGAAGGTGGAGCTTCCCAGTAGAACTAGTAGGGGCAAAAAACCTGACAGCTTGAAGTTTCTGAAAGTGGTTATTCAGCATGTTTGTTTGTATAATACGGGAATGGACTTGACTCAGGAGGATGCTTCCAGTCTGAAGCCCCTAAATATTTATCAGTGAGCTCATGAAAACTCAGAGCCATGAGAAAGACCTTTCCCTGCTTCCTTCTGCCCCAGACAGATTTATTCCACTGGGTGCTGTGCTTTCTGTATGTCCCCTTGAGATAGGTGGGATACTGTAGAGCCTTGTTATCCCTGGGCTCTTGAAATGTTTTTGTTTTACCAAGTGCTTAGAAGTGTAGAGTCACCTCCCAGGTCTGCACTGTGTTTTCTCCACCCTTTGCAGATGGAACAATCAGTTCGAGTTCAATTCTTTTGGCCCAGTCCCTGCAACACTGCATCCATTCCCAGAACTGTTCTGCCACAGACCTGTTTTACCAGGGCAATTCACAAGCCATCCGGGAATGGCTTACAGTCGCCATCACCCGGACTTTGCATCAAGGAGAGGAGAGTCTGTTAGAACTCACAAAACAAATCTGTTCCTTCTTGCAGGTAGTGTTCTTCTTGATGCTTTCTGAATGTGTTTGTAGTTTATGAGAAACATTTAACTTACTAAAATATGTATTAGTCTTTCTCTTTCCTCTGTGTGTTGCCTTTGTTCTTCACATAACACCTTGACACTGCTTATCACTATTCATAAACTCAACACTGTTTGTCATAGTGCACCATTTTTCTGAACATGCTGTAATGCTACTCAGATCATACCAAGCAATGGGATGCCGTGTGTAGTATTAAACGAAATGGCCTCAACATGTCAAATTATTTGCAGTCCCATCCTTAGTTGTACAATAAGAAGAGGAATTTTGGCTTGTTGCTTTGCTACCCTGAGATTTTCATGCTTGAATGTTATTTTACAGACTGCGCCAGAGCAGTTCCCTGCCGAAGAGTTTTCTATTTCAGAATCCAAAGTCAATATGGATGTTAACTTTCCTGGGGCTGCTTTTGTAGTTGTGTCCTGCAAGGAGAGTCAGTCTGGATTCCGCAAAGAGTAAGTTCTTCAGGAAAAGGAAAGGAGGAGAAACGCTTTCAGGGCCAATAGGGCTGGAATGGGATCTATCCCTCCCAGTACTTTCTTATGAAATCTGGGTAGACTTGGGTTGTTGGGGGGGGGGGTTGTTTGTTTTGGGGCTTTTTTGGTTTTTTTTTAAATAAAAATGACCAAGGATTTCTGAGGCGGGGAGGATTAGTATTGCAGAAGGGTACAACATGCATACTCAAGGGTGTGGGTTTTGATCCGGGTCTGGATTCTGAACAAGCACCTAACCTATTTTCTGGTTATTTTCTAGCTCCTCCCTATATAAGGCTCCCTGGGCTCGAGTGCTTGTTTATGGTCTTGGTCATAAAGTAAAACGGAATGGCCAGTTAAACCTCATTGAGGCAGTGTGTTACCCTCGGGATGCCTCACCAACCAACACAGGCTTGACGCCTCCCCCAACTCCTTATTTTCCTTTTCTAACTTTCTGTCATGTTTTCTTTCCTCATTAACATTTCTTCTTTTCCTTTTTCTCTACAATATCATCATAATCCTCTTTTCACCGTATACAGTTCTTTTTATTTTTTATCCTCCTTCCCACAATCTGCATAATTTCTCCTT